CTCTCTCTCTCTCTCTCTTATCACACCTTAACTACCTCCATATTTACCTCCCCTTACAGGAGAACAATCCCCCGGGGTGTTCCTGATGGAGGACTCTGGCTCGTCACTCCTGCTAGCCCACGCGGCGGAGGTGAGGGCACCCACGGTGGAACGCGCCGCCCAGCTCCTCGACGCCGCCCTCGCCCACAGACTCGTCGATGACCAGGGACGCCACGCCCACCTCGTCTTCACCCTTAACATCTACCAGTACTCTGTCGATACCTCGGCCAAGGGCGGAGGTAAGAGGGTGGAGGGAGATGGTAACTCAGGGAGAGGAGGTAATAAAAGGAAGGAAATAAAGGGAGGGAGTAGGGGGAGATTAAAGGGAGAAGAAGGATACAGGTCAGAAGAGGGAGACAACAAGTGGGGGTAAGTTAATCTGTACGATCCTTATAACAGAGCCCCAATTGTTGTCTTTTTCCGGGTGGAGTTGTGGAGGGGAGGTGGTCACACTACGTTGTAACCATCAGTTCTCACAAAATCTAAAAAATAATATTGTACAACCATTAAAAATCTCTATCATCAGTCTTCACAACACTGGAAATATCTAATAAAAATAGCTCTCTTTCTCTCTCTTCTCTCTCTTTCTTTCTCTCTCCTCTCCAGACAGTTTCTTCAGCAGGTACAGAAATATCAACATTATATATCCGCACACAGTTGCTGGAGGAAGGAGTCGACTCCACCTGATGGACTTCGGGGCCCTGGAGCGAGGTAAAGGGCCTTCCAGACTCACTCTCTCCTCCCTCGGTAACGTCATCCTCGCCATCTTCAATGGACAGAAGCATCTGCCTTACAAGTGAGTACATGTTTTTTTACCCGCTGTGTTTACGCTGCCTGCCGCCACACACTTGTAATATTTATGTAAACAAGGATACATGTAATTGTTTTTCTAATATCACCTTCGTTATTATCACCAACACGTACTGACTTCACTAAGACATCAAACTTCGTGTTTGTTTTGAATCGTGAGGAGACTTATGTATGATCGGCGTCCCTTAAGGAGCCCTTGAGGAGTGTGATGCTGTTTACTGAGGTCGCCGGGGCTATCAGACACTTTACTCCTGCGAGTTATATGTTCTATATGTAACTTTATGTTATATGTTAGTTTCTGTAGCTTTTTAATGTTATTTTAGATATTGTTTCCATGTATATTATAAATGAGTTTGTCACAGTATGACTAACTAGGTAATATTTTCTTGTTTTATGATAAAATACTTGAATTACCAAATACACTTATTATGACGCTGAGCAAAATGCAGCTGCGTTTATGACTTTGCTATTGATCACCAACTCGCTCACTTACATTGCCACTCAGAAGCTTCTTGAGCCCTGGCAGGTGCTGCCTCCCTGTACCCGCGGATCCCCTTTGTTAATGTCTTGTGTCGTCCTTCTCACACCACAGGGACGGGAAGCTGCCGCGGCTACTACGAGAGTGTGTTGGGTCAGTGAGGTGCGTTGCGGCCATGTTGGTACACGTGTCTCCTACGTCAGGCCACTACCAGGAGACACTGGCCACCATCCAGCTGGCCTCCAGGGTCCACAGGCTGCGACGACGACGCATCAAGGTCAGTCTGCTGCTGGAACACTACGGCAGATTAAAGGTTCTCTTGTTTTACTTGTTTGAGTTAAGAATTACTGCAGCTGTGGATGACTATTGTTCAAAGGAGAGGCGTGACTAACATTATTTAATATGAAAAAATATATATCTACACATATTTTACCACGTATAAACTCAAGTGTTTGACCTTCGACCTGTATTCAGCCTCACATGGGCGGGTCAGGTTCAGGTGGGTCATCTGAGGAGTCGAGGTCAGGAAGGTCATCCCGGGGCACCATCACGGACACGGGTGGGTCATCCTCCGTCGACCCCTCGTCCTCGGAGCAGGTGAGACAAGGTTGATTCCTTCCTTCCTTGTACAGGTGAGCCAACATCATCACCTGTCAACACTTCCGGTGCACAGGTCGGTGACACAGGTTCAGTCAACACTGTTTCTACCTTACAGTTGCTGTACAGTGTACAGTTATTATACTGTAGTTATGTAAGACCTGGCGAGAAGTGTTACCAAAATTCACCAAACAAGTTAATTTTCTTTTTTCATTTTAACGTGAGCGTCTTGGTGGCTTTACAGTCTTACAACTTCACCAAACATGTACACTAACAGCTGGTGCTGCAGGACGAGATCCTCCAAGTTTTGGAATTAACATTAAATAAATATTTTTCAACAAAATATCCGCGAGAAGCTGAATCTTATAAGTCGGTGAGATTAAGTCTATCTGTCATAATTTCGGAGTGAGAGGAAGTTTTCTGTCAACTTAATATAAATTTAACTTTTACCCTCCAGATTACACGTCACGTTCGGCTCATCACTTATAATAGTTAGCCGTTTCTTCCTTATTAATGCCGGGGAAATATTACCTTGAAGCAACAGTCTAGCAGGATTTACATATATTGTATGTTGTTATGGAATTCAAGGCGATTCACGGAGTGTAATTAGAGGTTGGTGGTCTTTATTTTATTACTACGGATTTTTCTAAATAGAAAGAAGTAATTTCAGAGTGAAGGAATTAGAACTTATTTGTCTGTTTGTGTATTACCATGATATGACCCCCACCCCTCTCGCCCCCAGTCGTGTGACACCGTGATCTACGTGGGTCCTGCTGGCGACGACGCTACTGACGGGGAACACCCGCCTGTCTACCTCCCGTCTATTAACTCCGGTGACAACCGCTGCTCCATGAACAAGGCCCTCAGAGGCTCGGTCGTTGACGGGGCTTCCAAAATGGACTCCCAGAGGACGCCTAAGAAGTCCTCGAAGGTCTCAGGGAGCGGCAAGAGTCCCTCGAAACCAAGTAAACACTCGGTGACTTCTAAAGACGGGTCGCACTCGTCTCCTCACAGGACTAAAGACTCACACAAGAGTCGTGACGGTGTGAGTGGTAGTGGTGCGGTAGGTAGTGGCGGGAGTTTACCAAGAACTCCTACTAAATATTCTTCTTCGTCTGGTGCTAAACTATCTAGTGGTGCTACTCCCAAGTCCCCTAAATCCCCCCACGTCTCGAGACACAGTAGACATAAAGTAGCGGCAGGTATGACGCCGCATGCGGACGCCAGTGGGGCTCAGAGCCAACACGGCGGCAGTGAGGAACAGTGGATAGACGGTCCCAGGTTCCACAGAGCTAAAGTTTACGACGGACACAAGATGAAGAGTTACGAGCTGGAGACGTGGATCGACGGACCCGAGGCGACCTATGGCTACATGGACGACCACAAGAAGTCCATGATACAGAAGTGGGTGGAGACACAGAACGCCCAAGTCCAACCCAAGTCCTCAGAACACTCGCAGAAAAGTCCGAAGCATAAACAGTATAAGGAACTAACACAGTTCAAGACCGTGGAGGACGAGGAGTCTTCCCCGAGACACAAGGAGAAGCACAGAGAGAAGAGGAAGAGCAGCGAGTGTAAGGAATTACGTAAAGATGGACAACACACAACCACCAGAGAGAAGGACGTCACGCCTCGTAAGAGAAGGAGTTACGGAGACAAGCCTCACGCAGCGAGTCAACCGGTGGTCGAACCAGAGGAAACCAACAAACCGAAGGTTCACTCATACGTGTCCGAACCACTTAAGACAGAACCTCCCAAGGCTCAGGAACCGGAGAGTGCGAGTCCGGTGAACAAAGTAGAGCCACACGCGGTGAGTCATGTCGATAAAGTGCCTGAAAGTGGAGTGAGAAGTGAAGTGAAAAGACAGAGTAGTGTCAGTGAAGTGTCGTTAAGTTCGACCGCTTTTCCGGATGCCAACGCCAACTTGCCTCCAGCAACGGTGGCGGCAGCGATAGGTCAGAGGTCAGGGGGTCACCAGGGAGTGTGTGACGTGCGTATGACCTTGACCAATCAGACTGCTCCTGCTACTTCAGCTATTAGAGGTCACGAGGTCGAGGAGGAGGAGGAGGAAGAGGTCCTTCAGGTCACCTACGTGGAAAACGAGACACCTCGGGTAGACATGAGGACCCTGGCGCCTGATGGTGAGTAGAACGAGGAAGTGTTGTTGTTCTTGGCTCTCTAAGTCACCCCAGTGGTAAATACTGTAAGTCATGAGGCAGTGTGATTCATCTCTTGTAAGATATAGTTTTGCATGATATTGGCTCTCGGGTTTTGAGATCGGAAGGGCATATGTTTTAATTGTTGGTCCTGTTGTAACTTACACACACACACATGGGAGACCATAAAACACAGTTACAACGCTGACCTTCCGTTTTATGTGTGTCAGCGTTGTAACTTACGTGTCGCGGTGTGTGTGTGTGTGTGTGTGTATGTGTGTGTTTTATTTGTAAATATATGGGTGTGTGTGTGTCTTGCCTACATTGTACATGTATATATGCTGCATATGTATCGTCCTCAAGCAGTGGAGGAGGATAGAGCCACGGAGGTGAGGTCGTCCTCAGACGAGACTACGACGGCGGAGGGCGACCCCATGGAGGAGGACCAGTCTCAAGTGTCATCTGAGGACGCTGCCACGGAGAGCCTCACTGAGGAGGAAGTGGTGTACCCTAGACCTGCCAAGTTCATCCTGCACGAGGTGAGTCTCTCTCTCTCTCTCTCTCTCTCAACATGTAGACATTCTAAAACAAAAGGATAATTAAACAGGTTCTCTCCCACACTCTCTCTCACTCTCCTCAACTCTTCCTCACACTTTCTCACTCTCCCAACTCACACGTTCTCACACAACTTATTCTCCCTTTTTCTCTCTCACTCTCCTTACACTCTCTCATTCTCCCTAACTCTCCCTGACAGGTGAGAGACTTGGACGAGGGGGAAGAGGAGCTGGAAGCGGCGCTGGACCGGTGGCTGGCAGAGGAGGACAGGGAGTACATCGAGGTAGAGGAGCCGGAGGAACCCGTTGAGATGGTCGACTCCTGGTGCCAAGTATGTATTGCGGGGCCACCTGAGGGTCACATAGGGGCCATTTTAAGTAATTTTAGGACCTCTTGGGGTTATAATGAGTCATCTGAGGGTCATTCTGGGTCAGCTGGGGTCATTTGGGGATAATCTGGGGTTATTTTGGGTAATCTGGGGGTCATTTTGAGGTATTCTGGGGTCATCTAGGGCTATTTGGAGAAATCTGGGGTCATTTGGGGGTCATCTGGGATAATTTTAGGGATTTTGTGGGGTCATCGTGGGCCATATTGGGTTATGTGGACCATTTTAAATTAATAGTGGTTATTTGGGAGCCATATTAGGTTATGAGAACGTAAAGTTAAGGTAATTATTGGTCAGAAAAAATCAGTTCTTTCACTAAATTCTCTTTATGTGTCTTTTTTCTTTTTTCTATTTCTTTCATTCTCTTTAAGTCTCTCATTATCTTTCTCTGCCTTTGTTAGTCTCCTTCTCCCTTCTGTCTCTCTCCCTTTCCTGTTCCTTTTCCCCGTCTCGTTCCATTTCTCTTTCCTTCTCTCTGTCTGTTTTTCTCTTTCTCTCTTGCCTCTCTCTTCTTTTACCTTTCCTCTTTATCTATTTTTCTCTCTTATCTCCCTCCGTTCCTTTCAATCTCTTACATTATCTCCTTTACGCTTCTCATTTATCTGCCCTAACACACACACACACACACACACACACACACACACACACACACACACACACACACACACACATACACACACACACATCCTCGACACCGGCTCCTACTACCACCTGAGATCCCTAGCCCGAGAATGGCTGTTCGACACCACAACCGCATCCAGCCCATACGTGCACGAACTGATCTCTATAAGAACAGCCCAGTCCGAACCATTGTAAAAATTATCAATAACTTGTAATAAACTAGTGTATTCACTCCCAGTAAATACTACTTCCTGCACTGTCACTATGTTGAGATGCCCTGTAGTTTGAGCTTTTCCCCATCTAGTTATTATATATCATATTTATATCACTTATGTTATTTGTATATTATTTGTAATTCGAAACCCATTCCCCAAGTATGTAACTGTATATTTTCAGCCTTCTGGCTGCCAAGCTCTTTCAATAAACCGTTAATTATTATTATTATTATTATTATTATTATTATTATTATTATTACATACACACTCACACACATACAGACACCCCACTACCCCAATCCCTTCTCACACACACATTCCCACCTACCACCTATACCCCTCCCTCCCTACACACACTCCCCCCAATCCCCCCACACACAACTAATCCCCACTCCCCCAATCCCCTCTCACACGCACATACCCACCTACCCTCATCCCCCCCACACACACATTTTCATCATCTCTCACTTGTTACTGTCAGGTGTTGAGAGTGTCAGGTCAGCGTGTCGTGGACGAGTTCAGGAAAGTTAATGATAGTGAGACAAGCGCTCGCTAATTTGTGTTCCAACTTGTTGACACTCTGAGCCAGGGTGTTCTGCTTCTTGTTCGGGTGTCTGTGTGTCTGTCTGTCTCTCTCTCTTTTCTTGTTAGGGTATCTCTCTCTCTCTCTCTCTCTCTCTCTCTCTCTCTCTCTCTCTCTCTTAATGTGAGTAAGACAAACGCTCCTAATTTCAACCAACTTGTTGATAAGAATCGTGACAGCTACACGGTGCCACCAGACTCGAGCAGACATGTTGATGTCTTTGCATATTCGCAAATAAGAGAAAATATGAACAGAGAGACAGACGCGAGAGGTGTCGTCCAGAAAGACACATAAAAAGCACAAACGAACAAAAATTATTTATGTGGTCAAGTAATGGTGAGCCAACACGAAACAGACATGGCAGGATTATTGTACCAGACATGTTATCCCGGAACAGAGAGAGAGAGAGAGAGAGAGAGAGAGAGAGAGAGAGAGAGAGAGAGAGAGAGACATTCCTTTTCTCCAAACCATGACCACACAATATTGACACACGAAAATTATGTCTCTATCAGAGGTAAATATTGACTACTTCCCCTCCTCCCTCACACCTCGTATATTCCACCACTTTATTTACGTCTTGGCAACTACACCAGCTGGAGTGATAAGTTGCCAAGTATCTAATTTACTTCAATTTACCCCCGGAAAGGCGTATTCTTATGTAGGTTACGAGCTTAATCGGATTCACTAAGGATCGTACGGGATTCACTAAGGCTCGTTAGATAAATAGTCCACGGATTTGAAGACATAAGAACGCATTTAAATGTTTGAATTAAGATTAAATACAAATATAACGTAAAAAATAATTTCGCAATTAAACTGAAAATCTACTTTAACTAGATACGTTCATTTAACATCTATACTTACGAGAAAAATTTATCGTAGGAGTTTTTTTTGTGTATCTGGTTTGAGGTGTGACGTGTTATCAGACTATTTGTAGCTGTATTGACTGTGTGTGTGTGTGTGTGTGTGTGTGTGTGTGTGTGTGTGTGTGTGTGTGTTTCTGTCAGTCTGGTTATCTATCAACGTATTTATTTATAGAGAGAAAGAGAGAGAGAGAGAGAGAGAGAGAGAGAGAGAGAGAGAGAGAGAGAGAGAGAGAATAAACATTAAACTTGGCATTATTTATTCATACTCTTAATATGGTAATACTTAGAGAGCTTTCCCCGCCCAACTTTCTTAACAACTCCTATAGTTGTTTGCACTCTAAGTGGCACGAAATTGGCCCAGGTGATTTGGTTGTTAGTTGGATGAGACGAAGGACAGATGTTGTTAATTTATGCCAAATCTTCCTTAATAACAACCTGATTGAGAGTTGTTATTTAAAATTGACTCGGGGTTGTAATTTAAGATTTATAATGGCTTAATATAATCACAGAGCCCCTTATAAAATCGTATAGTTATATTAATGTAATCAGAAATCCCCTTATCAAATCCTGTAATCCTCTTAAGTTATTTGGATTTATTTACGAATAAGAAATGAGAAGATGGTTGATAAAACAAGATAGAAGAGAAGAACAAATAATAGGGTTTTAATGAACAAGTGACGAGAGTATGTATGTTATGTCACGAAGGTCGAGCACAGTTTCACGTGTTAGTTTATGATTGGGTTTGACCTGAATTAACCGCCTCTCTCTCTCTCTCTCTCTCTCTCTCTCTCTCTCTCTCTCTCTCTCCATATAACCACTGTCTCTCTCTCTCCCCAAGGTCACTGAAGAGGATATTGAACGGACATTAGCTGAAGCTGGAGTCCACTTCATTCCCTTTCTCCAGCATCGCCACTTGCTGCCTACCCTTCAGGAGGAACCAGGTGAGTCTGCGGAGCCCCTCGACCACCACATGGACCACCTGCACCAGCTGGAGGCCCTCAACAATGTGAGTATCTCTGTGTTGTTTCGACTTCTTGTTCGACTTTAACTAGTCATATATTTATTCTCTCTCTCTCTCTCTCTCTCTACTATGTCACTGTTCATCCCATATTCCTCTATTCCACCCACTTTGTGAACTTTGTGAACTTTGTAAACATAAGAAAGACAGAATGACCTCACTTAACCCTCGTCTTCCTAAAATCTACCAGCAGGTGACCTCGAAGATCGGGTCAGGGGTCCTGGAAGAGCCCCTACAGCCCCTGAAGGTGCCAGAGCAGATGGTGGGTGACGCGGCCTTCCTTCACCCCGCGGTCAGTCCCCAAACTTCCGTTTTCTAGTGAATGATAATACTATTGTCTGTAATGATGACGTCATCTACTGATTATTCCTACTTTTTCTTATGGTAGTTTTTTCGATTTTTTGTGGTGGTATTTTAGGTGAATAGTCCTACCTTCTTCGTAATAATAATAATAATAATAATAATAATAATGATAATAATAATAATAATAATAATAATAATAATAATAATAATAATAATAATAATAATAATAATAATAATAATAATAATAATAATAATAATTATTATTATTATTATTATTATTATTATTATTATTATTATTATTAATATTATTATTATTATATGAAAATTACGATTAATAATATCACTATCAGTATTCTTACCATCACCATTATTAATGATCATTGCCCTGGGATGGGGACTGGGTTGATGAGTCACATCAGCCAACACATAACTTTGACAGTAGCCCTCCGTCACCCTCAGGGCGGGGACCATCCGGGAGGAGAGTTCAAGAGCAGCCCCCGCTATGAGCAAATGATCAAGGACCCAAACTTCACCGCCAAGACCCACTACTTCGCCAAGAGGCTGGAGGAACTGCAGCAGCTCCACGAGTTCTACAGGAATCTGGCCAAACAGGCACCCAGAGGCAGGAACTCCGTCAACTCGCCGTCAGCCAAGGAGCTGACGGAGGTGAGTGAGGATGAGTCCAGCGTCTCTGAAGGAGGAGAGGAACCTGAGCCAAAGATCTTACCTCAGCCGTTTTTTAGTCAAGAGGGCACCCTGACCAGCATGAAGATGAGCGGGAGGGATTATGAGTTCAGCTGGAAGTCTCTACTGCCGGAGGAGATCGATGTCCAGAGTGAGACGCATGAGGAAAAGACTGAGGGGGAAGACACGTCATCAGAAGTCTCTAAGGACGTCAACGATCCTCTTTACGACATCCAGAGTGATATTATGCCGTATCTGCCCAGCAACTACGTCAGTTTAACGACTCTCAGCGCTCTCAGACAGCCAGATGGCGCCTCCAATCCTAATCTAAACGGGGAATTCGCCCATACTGAACCCCAGGCTGACGCTGCGCCCCCAGATAACGCTGTACCCCTGACAACGACGCTGCAGGAAAGATTACCCGGCAACGGCGCCTCCCTTTCTGACGACGAGAGTAATGTTAAGCAAGTTAAAGTAAAGAAGGAAAAGAGAAAGAAGAAACTCGGGTTACTGTCCAAGTCAAGCAAGTCCTGTGTCTACAAGGAGGAGGCGGACTGTGAAGAGGGCTCCACCCACAGCAAGCTGAGCTGGAGTCGTTTTTTTGGCAGTCCGAAGCACAAAGGTTCTCCAAAGGACACCTCCAAGAAAAGTAGCAAATCTAATTCGAAATCCAGCAACAAGTCCCCAACATCGTCAGGCAAGAGCTCGGAGAAGAGCGACAAAAAGTCCCAGCGAGAGAGAGAACGATCGAAGGACTTCAAGACTTGTGCGTCCAAGGACAACAAGAGCAACAAGGAGGGGAAGGTGAGTCACTCCCAGGAGAACCACTACGGCCCCGACACCACCAAGCAACCAGACAACAAGAACACTAAGGCCCTCCAGAAGCTGGACTCTGATCGGTCTAATGGTAGCTTGAAGAGCAAATCCCCAGCGCGCAAGAGCTCAGAGAATCGCAGTGGACGGAGCGGGAGGAGAGAGAGCAGAGAGCAGCCACAACAGCAGTGCCAGCAGCCTCTACAGCAGCAGCAACAGTGTCAACAACCTCCACAACAACAGCAGCAGCAGCAACAGAGTCAGCGGTACCAAGGCTTCCACTGGGACTCCCCTCTGCCGCCATTCCTCCCCGTCACCACCGCCGCCATCCACCCTGGCTACGACTCCGGCGCTGACTCAGGCGTCGGCCTTAAGGTGCGTCACACTATTCTGTCATACTGTCTTAATTAGAGAGTGTGTGTGTGTGTGTGTGTGTGTGTGTGTAAAATATCGTCATTTGAACACAAAGTAAATTAAGATTATATTACAGAGCTTGAAAGGTAAAGTGCACTACATACTTTCCATTGTAGAATAGATGTGACTTTTTGCTGTTACTTGGATGATATAACCATACAGGTGTCATAACTATGTCTAATGAGGTAGTGTGTGTGTGTGTGTCTGCGTCCAGGTGATCCCACGGGCGAGACGGTCCAGGGGCGAGAGTCGTCATGGGGAGAGTTCTGGCTACGAGTCCGTCATCCGCGACTCTGAGTGCTCCTCCTTCGGCTCCTCCCAGGACTCCGGCCTCGACGACGACGGCCTCAAGGGCAAGGCTGAAGGGAGAGGTAGGTCGAGCTCTGGCGGTAGAGGAATATATGTGAGAGCGAAGCAGATGGTGGCAAGTGTACGCTGGTGTGGAGGTGGCTGGGGGGACGACAAGAGGAATGGGCGGAAAAAATAAGTCCTAGAAAGTGTAAAGGGCATACAACATGGCAAGGAAGGAGGCGGAGGAGGAGGAGAAGGCAGTGATCGCACTATGACACTTCAGGAGTTCGCTTGAGTGAGGTAGACGTCGGTTGTGGTAGAGAAAGATAGGAAGGAGAATCATGAGGTAAAGATACAATAGGAAAACAGGGTGTAGGAAAAATGATAAACATACAAGAGGGAAAAAAAGCTATAAGTATAAAATAGATTGGAAGATGAAGCGTAAATATAGAGGATTTAGAGAAGAATGGTAGGTAAAATACAATATAGGATAAGGGGGGGGGGATATCCTGTGTTCTGAAGGTACGTCAGTTAGTGTGGGTCAAAGAGGAAGTTCCCAGACATAGTTTATATTTTGGTCTATATATAATAAACAATTTACTAGTTAAAAGTCCCCAATAAACCCGTCCTATACACAAGGTTAGGTTAGGTTAGCCCTCAGTCGTTAATAGTCACACATTGTAACGTTGTCCTCTGTAAACAATGTAAGTTAGAGCTGTGAGCTACTTAATGTCCCCTTCACTGTGTCGCTCATATTGTAAACTTGTTATATATAGCGAACATTTGTCTGAGAGTAACTAGAAAACAGCATATTCTTTGTACCATCTTTCTTTCTTCGTAAGGGAGTGAAAACATAGCCGCCGGGACCACCAAGGCCAGACACCCCCCTCAGACGCGTTCCAAAATCTCAGAGACTCATCCTCCTAAACACGTCCAAAAAACGACCTGTCCCTCTATAACCAGTCATTCCCATTCCCATTCCCATTCCAAATATCTGCCATCGAGGATGCCATCTGGATCGCCCTTGAGGACCCAGAAAACGACAACTACTGCAACATCAGCTCTTGAAGTCAAGGCGTCTGGAGGAGGCGGCAGCGGTGGCGGTGTAGGTGGAAGTCCCTCTATGCGCGTCCCTGTGGAAGAGTTTGACGAGGAGGACGTAGCGAGGTACGAGAGCCACAAGACCGAGGAAGACATCGCCAAGTGCCGCAGGACGCAGGAGAAGATCCGCGCCCTCAGGGAGAAGCAGGACCAACTCAAGCAGGAGCTGGAGGCTGCCAAGAGCCGCCTCATGATCGACAAATCCAGGTGGAGCTTCGAGTGTAAGACATTGATCTGTTGTGTATCTCCGTTCCCGCCACCGCTTGTTCTGGCAGCGCTTCTTCCCCCTTTCGTTTTCGGCCATTTTGTTTACAAAGTATTATACAAAGATAAAAATTTATTTCATCAGTCCTTAGATCTAAATTTTTGCTTGATATAATTCCTTTGATCTCACCCTCAACAAGTGCGGCAGTATCGGATGACACAGTATATTGATGCTACATGTCTTACCTCTTATTTTGCCTGTACCTTTGTTTTGTTAGTGGTAGACGTATGTTAGTTACCTGTACATGTGTTGTCATGCATGCCTCAACCTTGACCACCTTTGTTATAAGTAGATACATTATTCCTAACGTTTTCTTGTAACAATAACTTTCAAGGCCAGTTTGGTTATATATGGGTGCGGCGGCAGAGAAAAAATAGAGCTCACCTCCTGTCCTAATGGTCCCTGGTTCGCTTCCAGACAATGCAAGATAACTCAGCTGTCAATAGGAACCTAATATCACAGTTTGGGAAGTGAAGGCGGCTGAGTGTAGCTCTGGCCACACTGTCTCCTTGTGCACCGCATAAAAGACTTAGTGTACAGTGTGCTGTATCCGCACTGCCCCTGCGGGTCCAAATTTCACTTTTTATTTGTATAAAGATAAATTATTCATAATTCCGTCCAGCTACGACTTCTAAAAGCACTTTTGTGTATATAAAAACACATTATTCATACACCCAACTACCGTGACTCTAAAGCCTGATGAAAAAGAAAAAGTTTTCGTGAAATATATAAGAGAAACTAAGGATAATATACGCTACATCAGAGTGACTATAATAACACTTATAAAACACATATGCGAGTCTCGTGGTGTCTTCAAGTGCCGGAGGAAGACTTGTTCACGAACACAAACACCTCATAAACTCCGTCTTGTTACCTGAATAAATACCTGTGCAATTCAATCCATTCCGTATGGCTTAATTTAGTTCACAATAACTTATAAACTACCCATAAAAAAATTCCTTTATTTTATTCCCCATAGCATCCTGACAACCCCGCATGATAAACCATATATTACCTTACGTGTTGCTTATTTATCCAGGTAATATTAGTTAAGTTTGTGTTACAGTTCTGAAGCATTTATTAGTTAAGTAACAATTAAGATGGAGGGAATTATTTTTTTGTTTTTGTGTTGGCTCTATGGAGATTATCCCCCGAGTACGATGAATTAACCCACTGAGTACGATGACTTAATCCCTAAGTACAATGACAATCCCATGAGTACGACGACTTAATCCCCTGAATACGAAGACATTACCCCCTGAGTACGATGACTTAATCACCTGAGTACGATGACTTAACCCTCTCAGCAAGATGACATAATTCTCTGTGTAAAATGTCATAATCATATTAAAAGGAACTGGTAATCTTATTCAAAAGATTAACACATTATATTCTAAAGGTTAAGTTACTTAGTTCAACAAGTCTTCAATGGACTGATTCATTGCACTCAGTAGGTTAGTATCGTAGCAACTCTGAACATGAGCTGCCATGCACAGGCCAACCGGCCTATTGCAGACTCCTTATTTTCTTATGTTCTTATGTTCAAGGGATTAAGGAATGACAAGTGCGGCAGCAGAGATGAGGTGGGAGAGTCAGGTCATGTCATTTCAGGTCAGGTTAGGTCATGTCAGGTAAGGTCAGGTCACTAGGGGATAGCCAGGCACAATGGCAGCTGTCTAGGGATATGTTGCAGTGACACAGGTGGGTTGACCTTGTTTGGCTGTTTTAAGTGAATTTGCTGCCGTGATATATTTGTATTATTGCATTCAGTCCTCTCTCTCTCTCTCTCTCTCTCTCTCTCTCTCTCTCTCTCTCTCTCTCTCTCTCTCTCTCTCTCTACATATTTATATCTCTGCGTGTGTCTCTTTTTACTTCGTTTCCTTTTAGTCATTTGCTCTCTCCCTAAAGTCTATTTCTGTTAATCATATTCCTCTCGTTCTCTCTTGCTCATCTCTTTCTCTTTTACTGTCGCATACCATCTCCTTCCCCGTTTCTTTCTCACCATCTCTCCCTCTTACTCATCCTTCGTGTCGTTCTCCCACACACTACAAAGTTGGGCCTTTAAAGTCAGGGAGGGGAGAAGTGATAAATGGCAGTGAAGAAATAAGCAAAGCATTGAACAGCTACTTCTTATCAGTTTTCACAGAAGAAATTTGAGATGAAATTCCAGAGGTGGAACTGATATTTAAGGGAAAGGAAGAAGAGAAATTAAAGAATATCACTATCAGAAAAGAGGATGTTCTTAAGAAGATAAATAAACTAAAGAAAACAAAATCCCCAGGGCCGGATGAAATTTTCCCTCGAGTCTTGAAAGAGTGTAGGGAACAGATTAGCGGACCCCTCGTAAACTTATTTACAAAATCATTAGACACTGGAGTTGTGCCAGACTTGTGGAAACAGGCAAATGTAGTACCCATATTCAAAAAGAGACAGAGCATCAGCCTCAAATTACCGGCCGATCAGTTTGACGTCAATAGTGGGGAAATTTCTTGAATCAATTACAGCAGATAGCATCCGATCGCATCTAGAGAAAACCAAATCAATCTACGACTCTCAACATGGGTTTACAAAGGGAAAATCTTGTCTAACAAATCTGCTAACGTTTTTGTAGGAAAGTCTTCGAGGTAGTAGATAATGACGAAAATTACGATGTTATTTACTTAGACTTTAGCAAAGCATTTGACAGAGTACCGCATCAGAGGCTTCTGAGAAAAATTAAGGCTCATGGTATCGAGAGGAAAGTTTTAAATTGGATAAAATCATGGCTCACCGATAGAACGCAGAGGGTCAGCGTAGATGGTGTTAAATCTGAGTGGGGCCGTGTAACCAGTGGGGTTCCCCAGGGGTCAGTACTAGGCCCACTCTTGTTCATAATCTACATAAACGATCTAGATACTGGGATCAGCAGTGACATAAGCAAGTTTGCGGATGACGCCAAAATAGGGCGGCAAATTAATTCAGGGCAGGATGCAAATGCATTACAGGAGGATCTAAATAAACTGCAGGGGTGGTCTGAAAAATGGCAAATGAAATTCAACACCAGCAAGTGCAGTGTACTTAATATTGGAAGAACAAATACTTATAATGTATACAGCCTTAACAACATCAACCTAGAGAAGTCGACTTGTGAAAGAGACCTAGGGGTACTTGTAAGCCCGGACCTACGGCCTAGAAAACAGTGCGTTAATGTTCGAAATAAGGCAAATAGAGTATTGGGTTTTATATCTAGAAGTGTAAGTAACAAGAGTGCAGAGGTCTTATTGCAACTATATCTTGCGCTAGTCAGGCCGCACCTCGATTATGCGGTTCAGTTCTGGTGCCCCTATTATAGAATGGATATAAATTCACTAGAGTCGGTGCAGCGAAGAATGACAAAAATCATTCCGGGACTTAGAAACCTTCCATATTAGGATAGGTTAAAGAAACTTAACTTGCATTCCCTAGAAAGACGAAGAGTGCGGGGAGATATAATAGAAGTATTTAAGTGGGTGAAAGGAATCAATAAAGGGGATATAGATAAAGTTCTTATAATATCCGAGCAGGATAGGACTCGGAGCAACCGATTCAAGTTGGATAAATTCACAAATAGGGTGGTGGACGAGTGGTAGTAACTCTCGACAGGAGCTGCCATGCGCAGGCCAACCGGCCTATTGTAGACTCCTTATTTTAATATGTTCTTATGTTCTCCCCTCTATCTATCTCTCTCTTCCGCACCTTCCGTATCTCTCTCCCACACAGCGCTCTTTCCTCACCCTCTCCTTCACTCTCACTAACACTCCGTCTCTCTCTCTCCCCACCAGTGCACGTTGAGGAGTGTATGACCTGGCGTGATGACGGCTACGTAGAGGCGCTCCAACAGGAGACTATCATCCTGGCCAAGAGGGTAATGGCCGCCAGGAGTCGACTGCTCCTCTCGACCTGCTTCGACGCCTCCGCTAACGTACAGGACAAGGATATCTGCGAGGGGGAGGCCTTTGACGTCTCCCCCAGTCTGCAGGATAAGGATCTCTGTTTCGAGGAGGGATTCCTAGATGACTTCTTGTTCCTACCAGACAGAGATGTGCGCCAGGGCGCCTCAGCTCTTGATTGTGACCTGTCTGTGATTAGTGAAGAGGAGATGGTCGAAGACGAAGAGGCGGAGGACAAAGTCCATGTACTACGAAGGGGAACGAGTAACTGGAGTGAACGAGATAATGAAGAAGACGACGACGAAGAAGACAGGGGGAGAATACTTGGAATGACACAAAGAGAACATGAAGATGATTGTGTCACCCGGGGTAAGGGAGACGCAGTAAGACACAAGACACAGGAAGAACCCAAAGGCAGTTGTGATAAACCTAATACAGATGTTGTGATGAGGAGGTTCGGAACGCCTCCGGGCAGTAGAATCGGATCCGGAGTGAGCATCGGCGAGGGCTTCAACGTGGAGGACTGGCGGCGCCTGAAGGAGTCTTTCATTCTCTGACTAAAGCTTCCTGTTATGTTTGTTTACATCGATCAGCTGTTACTCCAGCAGCTGATCCAAAGTTTGTTTATATCAATCAGCTGATGCTCTACCAATCAGTAGATTTATGAGTCTACTTTGTTATCTGGGTCACCGTGGCTCCATTGTCTCAAACTTCTAGAATTTTGTTTTATATATTTCTAATTATCCTCATTATCAACCACTGTAAAAAAAATTATTTTATACTTCTTTTCTGCCCCGGATATTGTGGTCACATTAAACAAATAATTATGACGGGGAAAAATATTCGAGTTCCTCCTCTGGGATCCATCACCATGTAAACACAAGGCTCAGCGTGGCCCCATATCTGCCCTCAAGGATGTGTCGTGTGTGAGTGTGTGATGTAAAAAAAAAAATACAAATAAAAAGCTAGATATAAGATAACCAGAACAGCTACAGCTAAAAAAGAAGAAAAAATGGTTCTATCAGCACCAAACACTTATATTTACCTGTACAGTATTTTATATTATGTAATTTACGTGTGATAGCTTTGTGAACTCAATATCATCATCTTCCCGTATACATATATATATAAACCAACCCCACCTTCCCCATCACGGTGGTTCTTCCAATTGCCTATTTTGTACAGATCTTTTAGGTAAGTGTATTTTTTTTTTTGGGTGTAAAATTAAAACAAAAAAAATATCAAGGAAAATCGTGTAGAGTTATAATATGTTTTGCGAAATGACTGGGGAGTGTGTGAGAGTGTGGAGGATGAATGTGAGAGTGTGGAGGATGAGTGTGAGAGTGTGGATGTGGAGGAAATATGTGAGTGTGAGAGATGTTTGAGTATGAGGAAAGCTTGTGGGAGTGTGATACAGGTCTGTGAGTGTGAGAGGTGTGTGTGTGTGTGTGTGTGTGTGAGAAAGAGTAGGAGGAAAGAGTGTGAATGAGGTGTCGTGGTGAGTTTTGGCACGTCATTAGTTGGAAATATTAGGACCTGAGGTGAAGTGGTCACATATGATGGGGACACAACACGTCCTTTTAAGACTCACAAAAGAACAACATCTGTATAAAAAAAAATATACCATAATTGATCACTAAACTTCTATGGTACCCGATGCCATGACAGAGCACGGAAATACTGTACTATGACAGCAGAAAGAATACCATGAATTACCATCAAAATGTCAAGCTAGTTGGAAGAAGCACCATGAATGGCCATTAAAATGTCATGGCAGCTTGAAGAAACACAAGAATCGAGTAAGCTGGGACCCTGGACACGCTACAGTACACCCATGAGGTACTGTATGACCCATTAGAACCTTAATGGCACCAGTTTAAACCCCATGCGACAATTTGTACAGACATTGTGTGGACCAAGAGCCATCGGACCGTCACTGAACCCGATTTAAACCCCATGAAACAACTTGTACAGATAACGTGTACCAGAATCCATCACGACCTCACTGAACTTAATCCAAAACCTGTGGAGAACTTGTAAATAGACCCGCTCGCTACATTAAGAACCTTGCCGTGTACAGCAGAGGAGAAACACTCGTAGCGTATAAGGTGAAGGAAGACCCTAGTGAACGCCTGTTGCTGATGGTGTCTAGTGTGTGCGTTGTGGGCTGAGTCAATTATACGTCTTGTCATATTATCCTGATGAAGTAGAAGAAGAGGAAGGAAGAAGGTAGAATATGTCGAGATATGAGATACTTTATAATTTATTTAGTCCTTACTGGAAAACTAAACGTCTGCATGTGAACGAATGTCTCAGATCTTTACCACCGTAACGTAAATCAACGCCAGCCCAGGCAGAAGGCGGGCGAAAGTATGTCGGGCTTAAGTTTCTATAAGTATTTAATTGCGAGGTGTGGTGTAGAAAAGCCAAGCGTTGCCTTCTGCTCATGCTGGCGCTGGTACAGGGTGGTAAGATGTATGTGTGTGTCTCTCTCCAACCAGTGTCTTATTCTCAAACTAACTTAACCGGTCTAGTCTAAGAGTGGAATCCATCTGTAGATTATTATTATGATTATTATTTGTTGTAATTATTATCATTGTTATTTTTTTTATTAATATTATTATTATTATTATTATTATTATTATTATTATTATTTGTTGTAATTAATATTAATATTATTATTATTATTATTATTATTATTATTATTATTATTATTGTTATTATTATTATTATTTGTTGTAATTATTATAATTGTTATTTTAATAAATATTATTATTTTCATATTACTATTATTATTTTTATTTATTTTTTAATGATTATCATTGTTATTTTTATCAATGTTAGAATTATTTTCATTATTATTATTATTATTATTATTATTATTATTTACAGTACTATTATCAATATTCCTTAATCCTTCCACATGACTGTTGCCTGTAGGTTTTAATAAGTTGTGTTATATAAGACATATACACTATATAATTACCTTGAGATATATGTAAAATTATACTGTACGTTTGATATTTATTTTATAATCGGTTCCCAGAAATGTTCTTTGAGCCGTTTTCTTTGAGGTGTTAATTTTCTTGATTGTAATTGATTAAGAGAATTTTCTTCTCGTCGACCTCAGGTGTAAACAGTATTACCTGGATTACCTTACGTCAGTATTTTTTAAGAGGAATTACTTAATTACTAGTCATCATGATAAGTCTTTGTTTGTCTTAATTTTCTTATTTTTCCCTTTTCTACCTCTACTTCTCTTTTCTACTTTTCCTTTTCCCCACATTGTCACCCCTCTCCTCTTCCTTCTATTCATCTCCACTATCTTCTTCCCTCATCACTAGTTTCTCCATATATAAGCTTATTAAAATAATAGTCAATGCCATTTACTTATTAATATTAATATTTATTTATCATTATCAATATCAACAACTACGAACGACAGAAACTCTTACTCAACTTTTCACTATTTACAAACACAACTCTATCTAATACACAAGAGTAAGAGTTAACGTTTTGGGTCATAATTCTCAGTGAGTCTTACGATAAAATTTCCTCGTAAGTGAAGATCTAAGAATGTATCTAACTGATTAAGATAAAACACAAAAATAACTTACAAGACATGGCATCCAAATGACACTTAACTAGATACGCTCACTTAACACTTTACACCCTGTAGTTAAGGTACAGAATATTCAGAATGTTTTGTAAGTTAACTTCGTCTCCTAAATGGTATTAAATGAGGGTGTTTAGTTAAGTAGAGTCTCGGTGTATTTCTGATGCCATTTTGTGTAAGAGATTTCTGTGTCATCGAACTCAAGAGGTTGTCATCGTACTCCAAAGGTTAACTAATCGTACTCAACGGATTAACTCATCGTACTCAAGACGTTTACACAGTCCCAACATAACATAATCTCCCAGTGTTGCCAGAGGGACGAGAAGCGGGTGGGGTGAATGGAGTGTCACATCAAGTATTTATTTAATCAGTCAAATAATAATAAAATCACCTTGTGTTTTTTTTATTATCTCTAAAGAACCTCATTTGCTTGGGTTAAGTCGCTGACATGTGATATTTTTATAGTTTTATATATTAAAGAATATATAATAATATGATTGTTAATGTCATCTGTTGGTTTTATTCACCTTTGTTATGTAATGATGTTAAGATGTTAAAATAATGTGAAATATATTAAAGGAATGAAGAACCACAAACAAGGTAAATCAAGGTAAGTATTTAAGTACCAAGAGTTACTTAAATAGACCTAATTTAACCTGACCTAATCAACTTACCGTGACCAAAGATGACCTCGTTGTGTTAGTAGTCTTCGTTGTCTTAAGATATATAATATTATAGTACTGGTAATATTGAATATAAGGGTTACAGTATTAACATTACTACTTCAACTACTACTTATTACTATTGCCACTAAAAATAATAATAATAATAATAATAATAATAATAATAATAATAATAATAATAATAATAATAATAATAATAATAATAATAATAATAATAATAATAATAAAAATAATAATAATAATAATAATAATAATAATAATAATAACAATAATAATAATAATAATAATAACAATAATAATAATAATAATAATAATAATAAAGATCTTTCTTAAATTCAACTCCACAAACAACAAAGCGACAATGTGAATGATAAAACTAATAACTAAAGAGAACAAAGAAAGATGGATAAAGATAAGTAACAAAGAAGAATGTATAAACAAACAGACAAACAACAGATAAATAATGATCAACAAGGCTACACAACATAACGCGGGGAATTATAATAATGTAGCACAAACTTGGTGATTTGTTCTGAAAATAAACACCGGCATAAAATCACCATCTCTCAGCTCAAAGCATCACCATCTGTATGAGCTCACAGCATCATTTCTCACTCTCAGGTCACAGAATCACCATCCTGCACACTTATCTCCCTCACTATCTGATCATCACTATCTTACAGCGAAACAAACCCACACAGTCATTTCCCTCACTATCTTACAATGGGACAAATTCTTACTATCGACACCATCTCAGCGTCACCAGCATTATCACTATCTCTCAGCATCACCACTATCTCTCAGCATCACCACTATCTCTCAGCATCACCACTATCTCTCAGCATCACCACTATCTCTCAGCATCACCACTATCTCTCAGCATCACCATTATCTCTCAGCATCACCACTATCTCCCAATATCACCACTATCTCCCAGCATCACCACTATCTCCCAGCATCACCACTATCTCTTAGCATCACCACTATCTCTCAGCACCACCATTATCTCTCAGCATCACCACTATCTTTCAGCATCACCACTATCTCTCAGCATCACCACTATCTCTCAGCATCACCACTATCTCTCAGCATCACCATTATCTCTCAGCATCACCATTATCTCCCAGCATCACCACTATCTCTCAGCATCACCACTATCTCTCAGCATCACCACTATCTCTCAGCATCACCACTATCTCTCAGCATCACCACTATCTCTCAGCATCACCATTATCTCCCAGCATCACCACTATCTCTCAGCATCACCATTATCTCCCAGCATCACCTGCCCATCACCTGGTATTAGCATCTTCCTTCCCGACGTTGTATTACCTTCATCTGTCCGCCTCTGAGAACGACCGGGTATAAGATGATTGGGTTAGAGAGACGTTCCCTAATCTCCCAGATGACTGACTCGAATAATCGGTTCCCAGTGACATATTTCAGCCGCTCGACAATTACTTCAGGAAGACCCAATTGGCCAGAAATGGAATTGCCTTATCAGAACACGGACTCAGCCGCTCCTGCTTCATTAGCGGGAGGATGTGTGTTGTCTTGGTCTAACGTAATAGTGATAGAAAAATTAAGTGAATTGAGTGTAATGCCTAAATTGTTGCAGTGGGTCAAGTTAGAAGCATGATGGCGGCGTGATACTGTTTATTTATTTTGGAAAGCTGTGTGTGTGTGTGTGTGTGTGTGTGTGTGTGTGTGTGTGTGTGTGTGTGTGTGTTCCCCCTTCTCTTCTTCGTCTTCTCATCCTCTTCCATTTCCCCTTTCTTCAGCAAGAGAAGGGTCGTCTCAATGCGGAAGACGTACTCAAGATATACTTAGTGTCTTCTCTCCTCCTCCTCTCCCTTCCCTCCTCCTCCTTCTCCTCTTCGTCCTTCCTCTCCCTTTCCTTTTCGTTTTACTCCTCACATTGTGGAGGAAAT